TATATTTATTTATTTATTTTTTATTTTTTTGGGCAATAATATTTTGTATGCTGTAGGTAAAACGAACACAGAACAAAGCAAAATACGATAATATTTAAGTACCACAAGGCTGCTTGCTAAATATATTAACCATAAAGGCTAAATGAAAATTTGGTAATAAATTTTTAAAATATTTTTTAGGCTGTAAACAACATTTTCAAAAATGTTATTGATAGTCAAAATAAAAATTTCTTTAAGTAAATAAAATAAATCATTAACCAATAAATCAAAATGAATTAGCTGTTTACAAAAACCTTGGTAAATTCTACTGCAGTCTTTCGAGTCTCAAGTGGCTTTGGCAAATATTTCCACACACATTTTCGTAGCCCGCTGAGATGGAGAAGATGAAGTGCGGCAAGTCTGGGTGCTAATTTGTTAGAAAATCGTTTTGTGCCACAGAATACAATATCTATATTTCTTTTTTCTTTTTGGGCACACACATGTGCTCCAGTTCCGAAAATATCAAAAGATCGAGAAGAAAAGAAAAATATATATATATATGTATATGTCTATATGTCTATATATTTGTTTATTTAGGCAAAATGGATGCAAGAAAAATGCGCAAAGTTGTGCAATTGAAGTTGAGGAGTGTAAAAATTGTGGAGCAATTGAATTTGGCATTCCAATTGAAGTGCGTGGCGCTGTGTAAACAGGAGCAGGTCACGCAGCTGGATAGTGTTGGCTGTTGGCTGCGTCTATTTATCTAGCACTAATTTAGAAAACTCATTAGAGAAAGTGAAGAGGGAGGGGGAGTTGCTCTCTCTCTCTCTCCCTCTCTCTCTCTCTCCCTCTCTCTCTCTCTTCTATAATGATCATTGAGGCGCGTTTGCTAATGATTTGTTTTTGTTTAGTTTCCGGCAGGCGCAGTGGCCGTTAAATGTTAAGTGCCCTGTTGGCACTTCACAAAGCAGCTAATTGATAGACCATATGCACTTACATACACTATCCATGCCCTTACACTCACCCCGACCCTCACACTTACCCACACCTAAGAGGCACTTCAGCTAAGCGCATCCCATTCACATCTCCATTGCAGATCAACACGAATGGCATTTTGACATTCAACGTGGAGTTCACGGAGTACTTGAATCAGCCCTTCCCACTCGAGTATCCCTCGGTAGCGGCCTTCTACTCGAACGTCGACACGAGCAACAGCAACGACGACAGCTCCATTTCGCTCTTCGAGTCGAAGGATCCTCAGCAGCTGAATCGCGCTCAGCAGCTGGTGCGCTATGCCTACAGCGATTGGACGGAGTTCGAGGCACGCCAGCTGATTGTCGGCACGTGGCGCAATGTGGGCTACTTCAACTCGAAGACGGACAGACTGAACACCTTTCAGGTGGTCCTGATTGTCGGCGACTCGCAGACCTTTGTGCAGTTCATCTACCCGCAGGGCGGACTCAACTGGCTGCAGGGCGAGGCCGGAGAGTACGGCTTGCCCGACATTCGCGCCCAGGCGGGCTTCGTGGCCGAGGATGGACGCTACTACAATCTGAATGGTTCCGGATCGGAGAACGTAAGTGAATGAAGAAAGAATAAGTAAGAAATCCCTAATCGAGCATGGGTATGGGTAAACCAAGTGGTTCTACTGCTTTTGCTTAGTAGCAAAAGGTTTTCCTTAATAACTTTTGTCTTTCTCAATAGATTTAAGTAAAATCTTCAGCAAGCAATCTACATATTCTATGGAATATAAGACAATTTAGATGAGCTTCCTGTACATGCACATATTTGCTATATTTGCCACTAACCTTCAATTTAAAGTATTTTATCAAATTTTGAGCCAGTATCCAAAATATAAAAGAAGTCAAACTACGCTTGGAACTAAATACCAAGTCTCTAACGCTTGATATGTAGAAGATATACTTTTATAAATGTTAAGCGACTCAATATAGGATAGGATTCAAAAGGGAGTAGTTATAAATTTCTTAGATAGTGTGTTATCACGAAAAAAAGAACACGAAGAAGCTCTTCTAGCTTCAGAGTTCGACAGACAGATGGATAGGCAGACAAACGAAGAATCGATTCCGCTCTACTTAATCAGTAACATATATACCTTATGGGCTCTGCCACGCCTTCTTCTATACTTTTATACTGAACTATTCAACCCTTAATTACCATTTTAAAGTAAAACTTATCAAGAGAGAAAACTAATCCACATCACGTCTGCCACTCCACAGGCTCGTTTCCTCAGCGACAGCACCAACTTGGGCGTGGCTGGCGTCTGGCTGTACCAGGTGGCGCCCCTGACGGGCAGCGAGAACGTGGTGGCGCCCAACAACGTGGAGACGCGCACCGAGTCGCCGGCCCTCGCTCAGAGCTGCAACGGCAATGGACATCAGTGCGACAGCCATGCCCAGTGCTACGACAAGTCCGAGGGCTACTGCTGCGTGTGCGAGTCGGGCTACTATGGCAATGGACGGTCGTGCCTGGCCAACGATCTGCCGATGCGCGTGACTGGCTCGCTGTCCGGCCAGCTGAATGGCCAGGCGGTGAGCGAGGAGGCCAAGCTGCAGTCGTACGTGGTGACCACGGATGCGCGCATCTACACGACCATCAATCCGGTGAGCGGGGAGCAGGCGGCGCAGCTGCGTGTGGTGCTGCCGCTGCTGACCACCGTGGGCTGGCTGTTCGCCAAGTCGATCAATGGGGCGGCGAATGGCTACCAGCTGACCGGGGGCAACTACCAGCACATCTCGCGCGTTCAGTACGAGACGGGCGAGACGCTGCTGGTGAATCAGACGTTCGAGGGCTTGAACTACTGGGATCAGCTGACGGTGAAGATCGAGCTGACGGGCTCCGTGCCACGCGTGCCAGCCGGCGCTGCACTGCATCTGCCCGACTACACAGACGAGTACAGGTTTGTGCGTCCCGGCGAGCTGCACTCGCTGCAATCGCATCAGCTGGAGTTGGCCGAGAAACAGCGTGTGATTGGCTTCCAGGTGGACCAGCGCATACTCTACCAGAGTTGCCTGCGCGACGACGACGTCGATCCCACGGATCACAGTGTCCTGCAGAAGGTGTCCAAGATCACGCTCGACTACTTCGAGCGCGACCAGGCCCTGCGCACCAGCGCCCTGACCAAGATCGGCGTCGATGCCGAGTCGAATGCCTGCACCGACGGCAGCGTCCAGTGCGGCGAGAATGCCATCTGTGTGCCCTACGAGGACACCTATCGCTGCGACTGCCAGCACGGCTACTCCGCCCAGGTGGACGAGCGCGGCGGCGAGAGCTGCATCGATGTGGATGAGTGCGCCCTGGGCACCCATGTCTGCGACGAGAACGCCCTCTGCTCCAACAATGAGGGCGGCTTCACCTGCGTCTGCTACGATGGCTACGAGGGCAACGGCTATCGCTGTCTGCGCAACAATACGGCCGAGAATATTGAGTACCCCACGCCATCGCCAGTCGACGGCCAGCAGGGCTATCCGACGGAGCAGGACCAGCAGCCACGCCCAGAGCAGCCGGACGAGCATGTCGACTATCAACCCAATCAAGGCAATGGACAACATCCGGATGAGTGCTACGTAAGTGCGAGCAATTGAATTGAATTGATATGATATGGGTTCTATTTCAATATATGTATATAGATCAGAAGTATGTATGTGTATGTGTGCAAAGTGATTGCTATAGTCGATCTTCATTGTATATGTTATATTGAGATATATATATATACATAATGTATTCATATTTACTCAAAAATACTCCCATAAGATAACAATGCAAAAAGAATATAACCTTCAAAGAAAAAGTATCTTAGAAGAAGGGAAGCAGAAACGAATCTGAAAAAGGAAATCTCTTAAAAGTATCTCAGAAAAAAAGTAAAAAAAAAGTTTTTTGACTAAAACCTAAAATTAAATATTCCTTAATAATTAGTTTGTCTGGAAATTGATTTATAGAAACTTTAGAAAATTCTTAAAATTATTGAAACTATGCCTAAATATTGTCAGTTTACAAAAAGATTTAGTGACTTAGTTTTTGGTGCATCCAAATTTTCCTGCCGTGTCATTCACAAAGCATCGAATTCGTTCATCTCTAACAGAAGCCCAGCCAGGGGGTGGGGGGGCAGGCAACAAGTTTTTAAAGTATAACTAAAATCGTTCTTTGTTTCGTTCGAGTTCGGTTCACAATATTCAAATGGGAAATGTTATTATTGTTGTTGTTGTTGTTTGTATTTGGCTTGCAGAGCTGTTCGCCGGATGCGGACTGCTACGAGGGACGTTGCAGCTGCCGTGAAGGCTTCTCGGGCGATGGCTATAGCTGTGCGTACATCTGCGGCCATGACGAGGTGTTCGAGCATGGACGCTGTGTGCCCCTACTGCTGGACGATCATGAGGTGGAGCCGCGCTGCAATATTCTAGGCGACTGCACCTGCCCGGAGGGCTACGAGCTGAGCGAGGAGCGCCGCAGCTGCCGCTTCACCGGCGGCTATGAGGTGGACAATAGCGAGGATCTGCTGCCGTGCGACGTGGACTCCAACTGCCATGTGAATGCCCGCTGCGTCTGGTGGGAGCAGCAGCTGCGTCACATCTGCACCTGCAATGCCGGCTTCAGCGGCGATGGCTACAACTGCGATCCCATCGAGGACTCCTGCGCGATTGTGAGTGAACCCAAGCGAGCTGCTCCCATATCCTAATCCCTCCCCTTTCGATTCATGCAGAGACCCGGCATCTGTGATGTCCACGCCAACTGCGACTACAACGAGCAGCTGGGCAAGTCGGAGTGCGTCTGCCAGCGTGGCTACCAGGGCGACGGCCACAACTGCCAGCTGGCCCCCGAGTGCCAGGCGGCGGAGCAGTGCGGCGAGAACGCCTACTGCGACGGCGGTGTCTGTCAGTGCAACGCCGGCTACGAGCGGGACGTGAGCGATCGCTGTGTGCCCGCGGGTCGCTGCGGCTCAGTCTATTGCGGATCCAATGCCATTTGCAAGTGGGATACGGCACAGAGTGTTCAGTACTGCGACTGCATCGATGGCTACCAGGGCGACGCGCTGACCGGCTGTGTGAGCATACCCATACCCTGTAATGTGCGCAACAATTGCGGCATACACGCCACCTGCGAGCCCACCGAGTGAGTTGTCCAAGAGATAATGGGATGAAAGAGCTCTGGATTAATTTTAAATATTTCTACTGCTCTCCATTCAGGGATCCGGCCAACTATACGTGCCAGTGCAATGCCGGCTATCGCGGCGACGGCTACGTCTGCATCGAGGAGCAGAACTGCCTCAGCAATCCCACCATGTGCGATATGAACGCCAAGTGCCATTCGACGAACTCGGGTCTGGTCTGCGTCTGCAATCCAGGTGAGCTCCTACTCTTCCGTCTTCTTGCTGCGCTGCGGCACACGATCTTCGGGGCAGGGCGTGCACGAATTGACGAACACGAAGGTGAAGATCGCCAAGGCCAGCACCACGTTCAAATAGCCATTGTTGCGATCCCAGGTCAATGGATGCATAAAGAACTCCCGCATGGACTGCAGCGTGGTTGCCTTCCGCCGATATTGCTCCACCTTCTGCAGCTGGCGGCGTTGCTGCTGGCGCAGCGACCACAGCGCCGTCTTGCCCCGCAGCAGCGAGGCAGCCGGCTGGCCCAGCTCGGTCAGATTTCTAATGCGCGACACCTTCGCTAGCATACTTTGTACGGGCCGCATCTCGTTTATATTTCGTTTGTATTTTTCACCAAAAAATATGTACGACTACGAATTTAGTTAGGAATTGAATTCGGATGCGATATGTGTCGAGGGCTGTATTGAATGCGAAATGCAAAATCAATGCCAACTCCGACTATACATATATTCAAGTGAATTCCGGACAGAACAAAACTTCAAAACTTCAATTACTTCATTTATTTGAAGACAAAGATTTTGTAAACAAATTTTATTTAATTACTATTAATTACTTTTTTATAAGTCTCCCCTTGACTGCCAACCAAAAAATGTATTATTACTAACTGTAATTAATGTAATGTCGATATTAAATTTTTTCAGTTGCTAATTACTTTTAATTACTTTGAATTTGTTAATTAATTACTGTTAATTACTTTAAGTAATTGAAGTCTTTAGCAATAATAATTATTTATACATTATTACTTGCTTTCCCTTTTCTTCACCCCTTTATTTACAACAAACTATTTCTGGACTTACTCATTTTAATCATTCATTATTTCTGCAGGCTTCTATGGCAATGGCTCCGCTTGCTTCGAGCGCCAACAGCACGACTCCAACTTCCTGATTGTCAGCCAGGGCGTGGTGCTGGTGCGTGTGCCCCTGAATGGCCGTAACGTGATGCCCATCAAGGTGGCCTCGATGGCCATTGGCCTGGACAAGGACTGTGTGGAGGGACGCATTTACTGGGGCGATATATCGGCCCGAAAGATCATCAGCTCCAAGTACGACGGCACCGATGAGCGTGTCTTCATCAGCACAGGTAAGTGGAAGGAATCCTTACATATGACCTATAGGTCATCTCATCATGTTGTGTATCCCTTGCAGACATTGAATCTCCGGAGGGCATTGCCATTGATGTCATCTCGCGTCGCCTGTACTGGACGGATTCGGAGAAGGACACCATTGAGGTGGCCAGCCTGGACGATCCCACGCTGCGCACTGTCATCATCAACAAGGATCTGGTGAATCCACGTGGCATTGCTGTGGATCCCTACAGAGAGTGAGTCGAACTATCCAGGAAATGCACTAAGATCTATGTTCACTAATCTCGCTTCTCGTTTTGGCAGGAAACTCTACTGGTCCGACTGGGATCGCTCGAACCCCAAGATAGAGTACTCCGACTTGGATGGCACTGGCCGGGAGCTGCTGCTGGGCGCCAACGATGTCAAGCTGCCCAATTCGCTGGTGGTCGTGGAGCACAGCGGTGAGTTGTGCTATGCGGATGCGGGCACCAGGAAAGTGGAGTGCATCAATGCGCAGAGCCGTCAAACGCGCACCATATCCCAGGAGCTGTCCTATCCATTCGGCTTGACCTTTACGCACGATCAATTCTACTGGACCGACTGGACAACGTAGGTGCTCGAAAGCTTTGCATAATATGGAAATTCTCTTAGCTTTGCTCTCTCTCTCTGTCTCTCTCCTTCGCAGCAAGAAGCTGGAGAGCGTGGATAGCGCGGGCGTGCGCCAGAAGCCCATACAGACGTCCTTCTTTGGCAGCCACAAGCTGTACGGCATGACCGCCGTGGAGCAGAACTGTCCGCAATACTCCAGCCAGTGCCAGATCAACAACGGCGGCTGCACCGATTCACGGATCTGCCTGGTCAACCGCAAGGCACCCTCCGGCAAGAGCTGCAAGTGCACCAGCGCCTCTACCGGCTGCACCGTGGCCTCGCCCTACGACTATGTAGTGCCCCGCAATTGAAGACCAACGAAGGGTCTACAATTTAATTAGTTAAAAATAACAACAAAAAAGAGAGAAAAAAAAGAAAACGAAATAACTTATAAAATGGAAAGGAAAATTATTTTTGTATACGCATAACAATGAAATCTATAAACTAAGAATACTGAAGATCACGTACCAAAGCAAACCAAACAATTAATTCATAATGCAAATCAAACTAATGTGTGTGCCATCTTTGTAAAGCTACTCAATCTAATAAATAATATATAAATAAATATAC